TTACCACGCGAGAAGTGGAACCTGGATTCCTTAGTATACGCCCTGCGACACGGAGACCTCAAGCACGACTTCCTCACTAAGCTCAACAAGGTACTGCGGGAAGACATGCCCCGCTGGGTGCAGCTCGGAATGCAGAAGACCCCCGATGCGATCTTCGAGTACCTGGAGCAGAACATGGTCAACACAGGCAAAGAGTTTTTCTTGCAACCCCATTTTGTTGATGAGCGGTGTAGGCGGCTAAGAAAAAAAAGGCGGGCAATATTGCAGCAGAGACGAGACCTTCGTGAATCTACTTGGGCCACAGACGCCACAACAAGCCAGGTCGAGCAACTCCTGAAGGCCATCTCGAGACAGCGCGGAAGGGTACGAGCTGAAGTGCGCCGACAAACCAGAGGAGCAATTCCTGAAGAAATAAGCGACCATTGGGAAGTTAGAAGATCTGCGCGGGCATACAGGGCAACGATCATATCAGGCAACACAAGAACGGGGACGAAGAGACGCGACCTTCGAGCTCTCCCGTTGGCGAATCCGACGAAAGACGAGTGGATGCAAGCGCTTAGCAAAGCAGGTAAAGAAGGAGGAATGAGCGCAGTGGAGATCACAAACCACCCGCGCCAGCAGGAAAAGCTTGAATGCGAAGGAGCCCCCGACGATTTGCCTCCTATTCCCGACCCTTGGGATCGCATGACAGACGACCCAGATCAGTTGCCTGATTTCAACAACGGGCACGCTACTGGAGCCTTCCTGGAAAAGCAAACGCGACCTCAAGAGACTGAAGAGGTATCTCTGGACTACCCCAAAGAGAAGAGCGTGCCCTGCGCGTTCGCCTCCCGCAGAGCTGTACTGGATGGCCTTGAACCCGCAGCGCGACCAGAAGCCGAAGGGGATGGGCTACGATCTGGACGACGCGGACAACAGTCACATTGAGGCCTGCTTGCATTTGGCGTTTTACAATTCAAGGTACCATCAGCTCACGCCCTGCAACTGGCACGTTAGCGAATGCTACGGAGCTAAGAAATCAGAACTGCCAGGGCCGAAAGGGAGGCGCCTCCTACACATCCTTCGTGTGTTGGGCAAAGGTTTTTTTTCGCCTCTTGCATTCGAGCTCGGCAGCCCGCGCAGCTACCACCTGGGCATCGCGGGTGCGCGCAGGGCAGAATACGAGAAACAGCGATCATGGCCTCGATGACCACGGCGTACACCCTGAGGCGGTTGCAGTGCTCCTACGTGGACAGCTTCGAGGACATGACCAATGCCTTCCCCTCGGTCAGCTGGAAGCACATGGAGCTGACAGCAGAGTCGCTGGTGAGGGATCGCGACCCCCGCCTCGCACTGCAACGCAGTCGTCGAACGCAGGTACTTATACCAGCTGCCGAAGGTTTACTTCATTTCAGACCGACAGAGGGGGGACTCATGGGGGACCCATTCATGGTGAACTGCTTCCCCCGCGCCTTCGCATGCGCGATCGAGCCCTGGTCTTTATAGTGGCAGGCGGAAGATGGCGCAGGCAAAAAGCTAAAGGTCAAGTGTCCGACCACCAACCCCATCGTGGACATGAGTCTGCACATCTACGCCGACGACATCAACGAGAAGATATTGCAGCAACCGCCTGCCGAGAAGGAGAACGTCAACTTGGACGAGCGCAGGCGCAAGCTGACCCACTGCGACGAGATCTTGAACGCAAGCCTGTCCGACATAGGTCTTGCGCAGAACGCCAACGAGCAGGTCAACGTGATGGCCTGTCACGGACTGGGCAGCGGCATTGCCAGGCGCGAGTTGCGGCTTCGGGAGCAACGGCAGAAATGGCCAGGGCAACTCGTAGATCAAGCGAGATATCTGGGCCAAGTTATTACCAGTATACAGAGTTTCGAAATCGAGCTGAGGAAGAGAGCACGTGCGCCCCAAATGACAACATAAATAAACGAGGAGGAAAAGATGAATATCGAAAGGGAGGTGGGGGAGATTTTCAAGTGCACGGTGGAGGTGGGCGGCAGGAGCTGTGGGAGGACATTCTGCTCGAAACGAGCTCTTCGTTCGCACGTTCGCCAGGTCCACAATATCGTCAACGCGTGCTCGTCCTTCAACCCCGCGAACGTTTGCATCGTCTGCGAAACCACCTTCGCATCTGAAGTTGCAGCTCGTCGCCACCTCGCTCGGCCCATTCAAAGAGGGCATTGCGTCGTCGACCTCGCTCGAGCACTGACCGCGGCACATGAACCAAAAACACTACACTGCCCTGGTTGTGAACACGTAGCTGGATCTTGGCTCGAGCTTCGACTTCATCTGGCGCGGCACCTGCCGTTTCTTCCTGACGCACGCGCGCCCGCCTCGGCGGGCAAGAACCTCTGCTATGGCCGACTCGGGCGCCGACATGCCAGACTGGATGAAAGACGCAGGCGCGAGAGCAATGCCAGCGTGGGGCCTCGCGAGGGGCAAGCGTTCGGCAGGGTCACAAGAAGCAGCGGTCGACACGAAGAAGGCCAAGGCAGACGAGCTCGTCGCATCAGCCAAAGGCTCGGCGGGCAAAGGCGCCTCCAAGGCGCAAGTCGTGCAGCAACTTGTCCTCCTGCTCAGCAAGTTGGCGCTCAGCATGGCAGGGGGCCTCAGGTCGGTGATCAGCGTGGTCTTCGTCGCGGTGCTCGTGCCAATCGCGATGCCAGCAGCGGCCGCAGCCGCGCAGGCGGGCAAGGACGACCACAAGGTGGCGATGAAGCTGAGGGGCGACCACAAGGAGGACGAGACGGCGGACGCGGCGCAGCTGGGGGGGCCGCACATCCACGCGTGGAAGGACTTCATCCGCGCCCTGCTCGAGAGTACCGAGAAAGGCCTGGCCAGGAGCACGCTCACCACCTACTGGAAGGAATACATCATGAAGAAGGACCTGTTCGAGGCGGCAGGGGGGGCGAGGTACTTCAGGGCGCGTGTCCCGCAGGGCAGAGAGATGAAGAAGAAGTCCATGCGCATGGAGGGCAAGGTGCGTCTCCAATGGGCACTGTCAACCAACGAGGTGGCACAGGACCTGGACGCAATCCTCAGGAGCGAAGTCGTGCGCCAGGGCGGAGAAATCACGATTGGAGCAGCACCGAGGGGTGTCTTGGAGAGGGACGCCAGAGCGCTGTTGAGCAAGCTCGAGGGCGCGTAGGGGAGCAAGAGCTGAGAAGGATGACAGCTCTCGCCAACTCCGCCAGACTACAGAGTCTGGTTTCCAGAGGCTACTTGAGTAGGGAGTCCGTCCTCGCCTCTTTCACCTCTTCTCTCTCCGAGCAGAATCTGGAGGACTCCAGAGGCCGCTTGATTCCGTTAGCCAAAACTCAACCGCCCCCCAAAGGGGGGCAAGGTAAAGGCAAAGGTAGGGGGAGACAAACTCGCCCCCCTCAGAGCGTCCGTCTGCTTGCCCTGACAGGGGGGATGCCGTGTGGAGCCCCCCCTGGCCAGGAGAAGGCAGCGGGTTGCCCTCTCCCCCTCTGCGTTTAGGCTGGAGGGGCTGCCACCCTTGCGCCTTGCGTCTTCCCCGTGAGGGCTGCAGGGGGGGCCGTGTTTTCCACCGGTGCCAGCGCAGGAAAGAGTTGCAGCCTGAACACAGGAATGCCGCCCAGCGATCAAGACTCGTCGGATAGCGCTGCTTGCTTCGCCAAGGGTTGTCTAAGTCTAAGTCTCCTCCTCCACCTCCTCCACCTCCTCCTCCTCCTCCACCTCCTCCACCTCCTCCTCCTCCTCCTCCTCCTCCTCCTCCTCCTAGGAGGCCTGGATCCTCTGGAGCTGGGAGGCCTCGGGTCCTGGGCCCCCGCCCCCGACGCCGGGGGAGGCCAACCACGGCCGTCGTCGGCCCTCCTGGCGTCGGCGGCACGAGGGGGCGGGGAAGAGCATGCGAGGAGGGGAAGACGGCGAGGGTCAGATGGACGGGGTATGTGACCATTTTGGGGTATTTTGGGGCAGTTGTGGGGCATTTTTTGGGGTATTTGTGGGGCATTTGGGGGTCTGAGCATTTTTTGACCATTTGGGTGTATTTGTGAGGTATTGTAGATTCGTCGTCCAAAGTCGGCCTGTAGGGGGACAGGCCCGACTTAAGGTCAGATGGACGGGGAGGACGGAGGTCGGCACGAACGAGATGGGTGCGGAAAGAACGAACGAGAGGTCGGCACGAACGAGAGGTCGGCAGGAGCGAGATGGGTACGATGCCCAACCGCAGTTCCTGTTCGTTTTGAGCAGGACTTGCTGTTCGCGCCGCCGCGGACGTTAGATTTGAGACGTTAGATCTAGGAGGGGAAGACGGCGAGGGTCAGACTTACGACGGGCCTGTCCCTCTACAGGGGGAATATCCAAAAATGGTCAACAAATTGGTCTGGGGGCTATTTTTTGAGCATTTTTCGACCATGTTGGGGCATTTGTGGGGTATTTTTGATTTGTCGTCCAAGGTCGGCCTGTAGGGGGACAGGCCCGACTTAAGGTCAGATGGACGGGGAGGACGGAGGTCGGCACGAACGAGATGGGTGCGGAAAGAACGGGTACGCTGTCCAACAGCAGTCCCTGTTCGCTTTGAGCAGGACTCGCTGTTCGCGCCGCCGCGGACGCTGTTCCTTGAAGGCAAGAAGCCGCCTGCCCAGCAGCGGCCGCTGTCGGTTTGGGACAGCACCTGTTGGGCACTGTGCCCACGCTCTCCGTGCCCATGCCGGGCGTCCAGAGGAGGGGAGCACGGAGGAGGACGGGGAGGGACGGGAGGATGGCGAGGGGAGGACGAAGGTCCGGAGGGAACAAAAACGCACACAGACACCATGAATCGTCGATTTCCAAGGAAATGTAGGAAAATCTGGGAAACGGGGGGGGGGAGAGACAAGAACCCAGAACATGATATGGGAAAGTATGGGGAACCCTGTTATTTGTGAGTCTACCTCTCTGGGTGTGTCCCAGGGCCCCCTTCGGAGGGGGAGGACGGGATAGACCGAGGACGGGAGGGCGGAGGAGGCGGGGGGGGAAGAGAGGGCATGCGCGAGGTGGGGCAGATGGAGAGAGCCCACAGGGTCGGACCGGAGCGGCTCCGCCCTCTGCGGCGCGCCGTGTGGCCTGGAGAGCTGCCGGCCGGGCCCTCCTGTGCCCTGTCTCCCTAGTTGAAGCTGTGCGTGGCCCGCCTAGAGCTGCAGGCCGGGCCCACCCCGCGGGGAGCTAGCTTTTAGCGGAAGAGGTTCGCCCTCGCCCCGCCGACCAAAAAGTGTGGCGCGGAGTCAGAGCCCCGAATCATCAGGGGTAACTCGGGTCAGGGATAACTCGGGTTCGTTTTTCGGGAATCCAAACCCGAGTTACCCCGGACCCGAGTTACCCCGGACAACTCGGGCGTCCAGAGCCCCGAATCATCAGGGATAACTCGGGTCAGGGCTAATTCGGGTTCCTTTTCCGGGAATCCAAACCCGAGTTACCCCGGACCCGAGTTACCCCGGATAACTCGGGCGCCCAACGGAGGGACTCGCGCTGCGCGCGGCGCGGCACGGGCCGCAGAGCGGCCCCTCCACGGCGGGAGGGCGCGCTCCTCGAGAGACCACCTGCTTCTGCTCTTCGCCAAAGAGCGTCCAAGGGCTTGGCATCGCTCGGGCGTGTGCCTTGTTCCTTCGGCGAGGACCATCGAGGAGCATCCTTGATCATTCGGCGAAACAGCCACGCACGAAACCGACAGAAGCACAGGGAATAGACGTCCGAGCGATGCCCAGAGGGGTTTCTCGGCTCCGCGCTCCGCGCGGTGGCTTCCCGCAGCCGGGGAGGGAGCGGCCGCGTGCAGGGTGCGCCGGGTCTCCCCTCGGAGGCGCGCCTCGCGCGCGGGTTTTCGGGGTTGGGTGTTTCTTGCGAGGGTGTCTTTGCGGCCGCGCCCGCACCGTACACGAGGGGGGGGGGGGCGGCGCGAGGGCACCAGGGCGTGAATCGGGAGGGGGAGAAACACACAGGCACAAGGGATCGTCGATTCCCAGGGAAGTCTGGGAAAATATGGGAGGTGGGGGGGAGGCGAAAACCCAGAACAAATATTGGAAAGTATGGGGAATCCTGTTACTTGTGTCTGTCTATTTGTGTGTCCCAGGGCCCCTTCAGTGAAGAGAACCGCGCGTCGCGCATCGCGGGGCGCGATGCGCGAGCTGAGATAAACCCAGGGTGACAGGGGAGAGGTGCCGATGCCGCTGCCCCTGCCTTGGTTTCGCCTTCGGGGCTCTCTGCGGCGGCCCTCGTCGCCACGGGTGGATTCGCCACGACACGCCGCGTGACACAGTATATCATCGCTTACGTCGGGCGTGTCCCCCTACAGGGGGATTTTCAATGAAAAATAGAAAATACACCAAAAATAGTCCCCAGACTATTTTTGGACTACTTTTTTTTTAAATATTTTTTGGGGTATTTTTTATTTGTCGTGCGAAATCCCCCTGTAAGGGGATAGGCCCGACATAAATAATCGCCCACCGCACCACCCCAACCCAACCCGGAGGCCCCCATTTGCCTTCCATTCCCAGTGGGGGGGGGGACGTCGGGGAACACGGGCAAAACACATGTGGAGCACGTACCCCCCAACGAAATTTGGGTCTTCGGGTTGGGTCGGGGTGGCTTGGTGGGCACGCGCCTCCTACCTCAGGCAGTTCGCCGATCTGGCATGCGAGATCATGGGTTACGCGCGCCGTGCAGCCTGTAGCACGTACACATATACACACTGATGCTGGTCACAAAGAGAGACGATAGTGAGGGGGAGAAGGAGGAGGAGGAGGACATTCAGTTACAAAGCCTCTTAGACCACCCTGCGGGCCACAAGGAGTTTGGAGGGTTGAAGATTTTGTGTTTCGACGCGCACTCAATTTGCATGTTGATGTACATGTCGATTGCACTTGGATTTGTAAGTCGATGCTCAAGGCGTTTTGAACTTCGGAGTGCACGATGCATGCCGATACTAATTTCGAGTTCGTTTCGATTCGCATACAGGTTCGCCCTCAGAAAGTTAATTTCGATGTGTATGTCGGCTTTACTTTGATTTGCATTTCGATGGGCATGCCGATTCGAATTTCGATGTGCATGCCGATGTGGTGTCGACGTGCATCTCGATGCTCATATCGATTTGAACTCCACTGTCCACTTCAAGTTGCATATCGATTATCATTTCGGCTGCGATTGGATGTGCC